TGAGGGCTCGAAACCCCGCATGTGTCAGGCCCCTCTGACTGCGTAAGGCCAGGGTTCAGATGTATTTTGACAATTGGAGGGAATCTTGACATCGCTGCTCAAGTCGCTCTGATGCTAACGTTAGTGATGAATCTAAACATATCAATCAGTCTTAAACAGGATCACGGAGCGTCATTTGAGAGGTTCGTATCGTTCGAATTCACAAGTCCAAGATTTTGGGGGGGGAACCCCGAAGACGTATGAGCTTGGACCTCGCTAACAGTCCCAACAACAACAATTATGAGTTTCACCAAAAGCACATTTAAGAATGTTCAAACCTTCGGATGGCTCCAACGACGGGCGAGCTCTCCATGCCTAGTATTACCCATTTAATTATGAGGCCTCTTTTAACACAAATCGAATACTTCCTGAATTATCTTAGTTACGCGACGGGGTTTCAGAAGAAGAGGTTATTATCCCCTTCCGCAGATGCCTCACATGAACTTCATGTTTGGAAGCCCTCAACATAAACGAATGACAAGCAATAGCTTCATCATGTTCTTCTGTATCAAGTGAACGGATAAAGAGGAACCTTGTGTCCACCAGTGACAAGCCGTTGGAAGACCAGAGTCGGATCGTACTTGCGCTGAATAGTCTGCAAGCGCTCTACATTCTTGTCACCATACGACGCAATTACCTGCTGGCTGCCATCTGCGTATGTTAACATGCTATCCAGACGGCATAAGTAAGCATTCTGTCAACAGGTAGAGTACAGGGCCGAGGTGGTGCCGCTTCCTTACATGTAAGGGAACAGGACGTTCTGCAATTTGGCTTCCGCTTGTAGCGTGCGAATAAACACTCCCCAAGCCGGAAAGACTTTGTCGATGTCACTCTCAAGATCAAACTGTACGCCGATATAGAAGACTGCATAGGAAGTGACTTCGTGTTAGCCAAACGTTCCCATACCAGCTGCAGTCGGTTGGCAATAAAACCTTCACTCACCAGATAGACTCTTCCCTGGCTTGGCCCTGTCCAGACCCAAGGGGTTGGTCCTGCCAGCCTTGTTGATGGCGCGCGGCGGAATCGGCATGACGGTGTGAAGTCCGGCCAGACCCTGAATATGAGCGAAGCTAGAGCAGAATTTGGAGAACTTGGCCAGTATGTACGCCAGATAGGCCTCAGAGGGGTAAACGGTAAAGGTGTAGTGGACTTGTCTGCGAGCAACATATTGTTAGCGGACCAGGCCGTGTGTAGTTGATTTCTATTGAGTAGGTTCAGCATACACAAGCCCATCTGGGAACCCGGCGACTAGCTCCGATGACAAGTCATAATAAGACCTGTTTTTGATGGTCGAATTGGAGTGCGGAATGTCAAGCCAGGGCTGAAGCGACGGTGGTAGGGCACTGGCGGGCTTGGTGTATACAATGGGCGAGAAGCCAAAGGTGGTATTGGAGGCACCATCGTAGACATAGGTTGGTAGTACATGTACATCTCTGTTCGAAACAGACGTGTTGACCTGATACTGGTACGTAAGCTTCTGTAAGGACGCCAGCTGACTTTCGGGATATGTGACCCTGCCGCCGTATATGCCAGTTGTCGGGATCGTCTCAAGAGTAATGTGGGTGACGACGCCAAAGTTATTGGAGCCGCCCTTGAGTGCCCAGAAGAGGTCGGCATAAGACTGCTTGCTTGTCTCGACGACGGTCCCGTTCGCGAGCACCACGCGATGACCGACCACGTTATCGACAGCCAGACCCTTATCGTTGATGAAGTAAGAGAAGCCAGCGCCCAGAGCTAGGCCAGTACCGACGGTCGCAAAGCGGCCGCCAACCACCATATAGCCCTGAGGCTCAATGATGGCGTAGAGCTGAGACCAGGTGTTTCCCATGCCAGTGGTGACACTGGTGTTATCGGCGGAGAAGGCTACGTCTCGGATGTTGCGCATGCTGACAAGGATGCCGTTGTCGATGTTGGCGGCCCCTCGATTTGCGCTGTGTCCGCCGCCGCGGATGGCGAAGGGGCAGTCATTATCATTGAAAAGAGAGACAGCTGTAGACACCTCGTTGGTGCTACTAGGGAGGAAGACACAGGATGGGCTGAGCCAAGCGGTAGCAGCTAAGGAGCCCAGGCCACAGCAGTCAGCACAAAAGAGATAATGGTGAGTATGATGCCGTTCAGTGCTTACACCAGAAGGCCGTTTTTTCACGGTAGTAGGCAGAAGAGGTTGAGCCATCCCGTGCAAAAGTCGCATTGGGGAACTGAGATGCCAGGGCAGAGCACTATTAATACGTCATGTGTTAGCCGGATTGATCCCAAAGAAATACAGAAGGCATGGTGAAAGTATCATCACCACTTACACACGTAGCAACGGGTGAGCTTTGGTAGGGAATGTCCTGCTGCGCCCCCACGATGACTGGAACAACCGCAGCAGCCGCAGCGATGAGCAAACGAATCATCTTAGGTGCCATTCAAAAGTTCCTGCTTAACAGTTGAGGAGGGCTGAGCTGCGCTTAGGAAGCGTGAACAAGTAGAGAAGAGTAGCGATTTACAACGAGTGGTGGTGGGTAAGTCCAACGTGCTCAATCGAGCCGACACAGGGTCCTCTTTCTATTGGTAGCTTTAAACCAGCTTTGCGCTGAAAAATCAGCCGTGAAGTCTGCAGGGGAACTCTCTTGCAAGGTTGATTTACCATCGGCTGGTGGTGAGCCTCTGGGACCTGAACATCATTTCCCAGGGGATCTTGGGAGCCTCCACTCTGTACTCCGGTCCGCGAACACCTATACAGGGGTATGGGGCAACCAACGACAGCATTTGGGACCTAGTTGCTATGTATATCAGCATGACAGACATTGATTCTCTCGGCAATTCGAATTGTCGTATCATTTTCGGTGTCTACACAACCTCGAAATGCACTCCCTTGCCTTCGCCTTCAGCCTGTCCGCCCAGTGGCTGCTGCTCGGCGTTCAACCCACCGTAGCCAGGGCTGTCGTCAATGGTACGCCAGTTGAAATTGGTTCGTTTTCTCTGTGCTCCCTGACTTGATCCGGAATCATCAGGTCCCTCTCTCCTAACACCACCAGATCGCGTGGCCCAATCGGTCAACACTACGGACAGCCTCCCCTTGTGCCGCGACTTCACGATCCCCATTTCGGTCAACAAGACGGTGGAGACCGAGCTCTCCCTCGATGACTACAATATCGAGTCGCTCTACGCCTGGGCTGGACGTGAGGTCCTCGTCGATGGCGATTATGAGATGTCAGCCCGTATCTGCGACCCGCCACCAGGTGTCGAGCGCAAGGATACACTTCAGCTCTTGATGCATGGCGCCACCTTCAACAAACACATGTGGGACTTCCCTTACAAGCCCGAGACACACAGTTGGGTCCGATACATGGCGAATTCTGGGTATACGACCCTGGCCATTGACTACATTGGTAAAACCCCCCTCCTCTTTTCGCCTGTCCGTTCCGCATCACGAAGAGGGTCGAATACTCTTGACTGTCCGACTGACGACCCTACTAGGCTGCGGCAATAGCTCCCATCCTGATGGCCTCTTCGACGTGCAGACTGAGCTTTTCGTCCAGACGACCCACCAGATTGTCCAGTCCATTCGCACCGAGAACCTTCTTGGTCAGTCTTTTAGCAAGATCTCTCTTGTCGGCTTCTCCATTGGTGCTATTGTCGCCAATGCTGTCGCCGATAAGTTCCCCGAAGATGCGGACTCGCTCGTGCTCCTAGGCATCACCTGGGATCGCGAGTGGTTGTATCCCGCATTCCTGGCTGGGCTGCAGACAACGGCGAGCGTCGTGGACCCCGCACGTTGGGGCGACAGGGACCCCTTCTACCAAACCCAGCCCACGCTCCAGGCGCGCCGGGTAGCCTGTTTCTTCGGGGACTTTGAGGAAGAAGCAGCTTTAACGGATTTTGAGACAAGGGACCTGGACAGCCTCGGCATGGCCATCACATTCTCCTTTCATCTTGTGGAGGCTCCGAAGTACGAGGGCCCTGTGTTCCTGGGTATCGGAGACCACGACTCGACGTTTTGCCCGCGAAAGTGCGGCAGCCAGCCGTACGGGGTCTACGACCAATTCCCCCTGGCCTCGGAGCACGTTGTTAAGGTGTACAAAGACACGGGCCACGCTTTGTTGTACCACCGCACCGCACCGTTGGTCATGCAGGATACACTGAGCTTCCTCGCGTCCATCTGAGCTTCTGTTTGCTTGGGGTGAAGCATGTCATCGGAAACACAAACTCTGGAAAGTAGCTTCTCAATCGGCCCTGTTTGAATGGACCACATGCGACAGCTCTCCGCTAAGAAGAGACTCGACACAGGAGCTGTTGACCATTAGATCCCAAAGCCACTTTGTATCTGGTCAGGAGCGGCTCTTGATGCGGAAACTGAGATGAAAAAGGTACTTATACTTCGTGTACATATCTTTACAGGCCCATATCTATACAGGTCCATCCCTAAGACTATTTTTTCGATTGCGTGATCTGGAATGACATTGCAAGTGCCTTGATGGGTGCCGCCCCTTGGGTCCATGCTGGAGTCGGTGCTCTTCCAGACCAGCCTCGTCTCCAAGCCGTGGTTACACATTCTCAGGTTCCAAAAACAGATTTCAGGTGTGAAACATATAACTCGAATATGCTGTCGGAGCGTCGTCGTAGGCAAGAAAAGGGGAATCTGGGCACGGCGCTGCATTTTAACTCGTAGGTGTCCATGGACACAACAGCTGAAATCTCGCCTGGAGCTGAACAGGGAACGCCCTGTGCGCAGCGTTAAATGACTTGTTGGTACAGGCCCACGTGCCCTGACGCGTGTCTCGTTAGGGGTACTGACGTGGGCGCAGCGAGGCCCTTCTAGCTTTTCTCCATCCTACCCATTTTCAAGAAGTAACACGATATGTCCTTTGCAACGGAGCATTTTTTTATTTTTCTCTTTTTTTTTTGCTACATGAACGCAGCAATCATCGCCCACATCCAAGAGCTACACAACACTACAATGACACGGACGTGGTCGCCTAGATGAGGAAACCTTCAAAGAGTCTCGACACGTCATCCATCTTGTCGGGGAAAGCTGTTGAAGCAACCCACAGGTCTGGCCGGACAACCGCGACGCCGCCAGTCAGATGGTTTGCCCCCCACACGGTATGGGCATCCTCATCAGGCGCCTTGTCATCGAAGACAACCGTCGAGCCCTCCGGCAGCGCGTCTCTGACAGCGGCCAGTCCAGGGTCCACGTCGGCACCGCTCCACTGGAATGGGAGCATCTTCAGGATGACGACAACATTGAAGCGGGATGACCCACCGAAACGGGCATAGAAGCCCTTCGGGTCATTCAAGCATCGAAGGAAAGCATCAACGCGCCGCCGCACCTCGGTGCCCGCCAGCGAAGAGGCAAAAAGCACCAGGTGAAAGCGAGGAGGTCCGGCCAGTTTGTCGTACAGGTATCCCGACTCAGTGGGAGATAAACAGACGCGGGGGTTGGGCGCCCGAACACCGCTCTTCACGCGAATCGCAGGGGGGTGGCCGCCTTTGGGGGTGAGGTCTAGACCCGACGACGAAACGGCAGCAGACTCGGCGTACGGGCAGTCCACGCCGAGGAGAAACTGCGCGTGGGCCTTGAAGAACTGTCCGAGGAACTCGAGGTCTTCGGCCTGGGAGGTGCCCAGGCCGTGATGATGATTATCCTCTGCGCCCTGTGCCACGACAGCCTGCGTGTCAGGCATCGCGCCGCTGGCTAGCTCGAGCTTGGAAGGGAAACCATTGCCCGAGCTCTTGCTCGCTTGCTCTGATTTTGCATTTGCATCGGCATTGTTCCTATAGTCCGCGTCGAGGCCATCAATATCCCGCAAATTCGGTAGCGGCACCGTCGAGCCGCATACGAAACGGAGGTACGAGCCAGAGACCTCAATGATGCGCACAGCGTGGCCGCGGCGCTCAGTGCTGTAGGTGGGTAGCAAAACATGGTGCTTAGCCTGGCCCTTGGCCGCGAGACCGAGCTTCCAGGCAAGGTTGGCAGAGTCAAGAATCGAGGCGTTGAGGCCAAAGGCGCCCATGACACTATGGACGTGACTATTGCAAGAAACAAGGCCACCAGTCAGCATAGGTAAACTCCCTAAAGCATTGCATTGTACACCAATTGTGCGCTCCAGATTGAACTTACGCTGCGTCGCCCACTAGGTGAACCCTCATATCGGGCGACGAGAATGAGCGAGCCACTCTCTCGGATACTGTTCAGATGAGAAGAAGTGTCAGTCAAGTCCAGGTAACATCAATCCTCACACCCACGAAAGAAAAAAACCCAATTTTCAATGAGTTTTCAAGGGACATACTCTTCCAGACGGCAAACCAGCTCAGGGGTGCCGCAAACTTGAGCTTGTAAGGGTTGAAGATGCGATTGGCCTGCTCGAGGACTTCTTCGGGCGTAATCGAGTGCACCTCGACCCGGCCACCGGACTCGATGAAGTTTGGGTCACGGGCTTGTCTCGAGGCGGCGATAGGCCCAGCCAAGGAGATGTCCAGCTGTGTGTATAGCCTGAGATCTTGCGTGAGTTCATGACACAAGAGGAGAGACCTCATAACAAATGGCATACCTGATGTAACCATCCTCCCGGGGAATGATGACACAGCCGCCGTGTTTAGAGCTGATGACAGATCTAAAGGTACGTTAATGGTTAGCTACCAATCCAATCTTCTCGAGAAGGTTCTTCTTTGCTCCCCTTATTGATGGAGTGAAGGACAGGTTCACAGCTTACCCAAAGACCCAGGCATGCGGATAGTCCGACTCGAACACGCAGTCCATGATGCCCCAGTAGATATCGGTGCTGACGCCGTCAAAGGGAATACCAAGCGATTTGCGGATCGGACTAGCTGCGCCATCGCTTCCAACGAGGAACTTGGCCCTGACGGACGTTTCCCTACCAGTGTGGGCATTCTTCAACGTAGCCCGCACCGGGTGCGTGTGATGTGAGCCATCGGCGCCATGTTCCTCCACTCGATAATCAACTGCGGTGCAGCTCCGCTCCACAATGACCTTGTGCCTCGCCAGGTCCCTCAGATAAATGCGCTCGAGCTGGCCCTGCGTGATAATATGCAGGCCACGATATCTTGAGTCTGACTGGTGCGAGCGATTGAACAAGAGCTTACGGCCGTCCTTGTAGATGGCAGTGCGCTCGATCAGAGGGCCCTCCTCGTGAACCTCTGTCGAGAGCCCCCACTGAGACATGGTTTCGAGAAACCTGGGCTGCACACCATCAGCGCGGCCGGCAACGAGCGGCGTGTCAGCCTTGTCTGAATGCGCAACCGTTCTTATCAGCACTCGCACTCGGGTTAAGTTGATGATGCTCACAGATGACATAAATAGGACTTTTGTCATCACCATGCTAACATACCAATGATGCGAAACGAGACCCCTTGTCTTGCTAGGCTGACGGCAACTTGGAGGCCACTGGGGCCGGCTGCACGTTTCGTCCGTTAGCACTGAGATGTTCTGTCCATCAAAAGACGGGGACAGCTCACCTCCACAGATGAGGACGTCGACTTCCTCCTTTGGCGCCCACCACGACGGCACCCCATGGGGGCTGTTGGTGCCATCGTAAAGGGTGGGCCAGTGACGAACAACGTTGATGCCGAGCTGGTTATGGGTGAGAGAAGTGGTAAGGTCGACAGACGGAGGCGTGACGTAAGCGCCTGTACGGTCCGGGGCTGAATTCCCATTATCATCGACAGGGCTCTTAGGCCAAGACCAGGGAGTTTCCGAGGCCGACGATGAATCCAACTCACGGAAGCCGTTCTCCCAGGTGTACGCGGGCGATTTAGTCGCCATTATGGTAGGTATTGTGAAAATATGGAGGAAGAGCTACGTGGATTCTAGCTTGCTTGTTGCGTTCGTTTGGGTGGTAAGCCAGCTTGATCAACTCTTCATATCCCAATGCTGAGTCCTGATTGTATTTTCATAGGCATTTCGGGCCCCCTCGGAACATCAACGTGGACAACACGATCATCCCCCTCGGGGCGTTTCTAGAAGTCTGGGTCCCGCGAGGACAAACACTGAGGGCCGACGTACTCCGGTCCCGCGGAGCCATGTAAACATGTTTCGGTCTCGCGATCGTGTCGACGGCTTCTCTATCAGGTGTCCATCTGCCACGCCCGCGGGGAATCGGTTTGCTGGCCTCAACGGGACATAAATTTGAGCTGTTGAGACTAGAATAGATCGCCATTGCTTGCGTTCAAACAATTGCACATCAGCCCCGCTCCTTGCCATTCTAGAACTGAGTAAGATACCTACCTGGTTTCAGACTGATTTCGATCTCTCCTACGGCTTGACCGGACAGATATCGCTGCCACCTTAGCACATCCACCACTCACTGCTTGGCCCCACGACGTAATGACAGCAACCATGACTCAAGCCGCTGACGCAGTCTCCAACCGCCTGCTGCAGCTGGGGGAGCTAATCCAGACCAATATCACCCAGTTGATTGAGTCTCGTCGCGCTGTCGCAGCTACGGGCAATGGGACGGAGCCTTCTGATCTCCCCCCGTGGAGCGTTTTCAACGCCCAGCGCGCCCTGCAAGCCGCTACCGGCAGCCTTACCGAGCTGATTAGCCAGCCAGAGAACCGACTGCTCGAAGTTTCTTCTCAGTACTTTGAAGCTCGGGCCCTGCACATCGCCGCAGATGCACGCATCCCGGATCTACTTGCCAAGGCTGCCCCTGAAGGTGTCCCCATTGATCTCCTCTCCGCCAAAGCCGGCATCGAGTCTCGGAAGCTCTGTAAGTTGCGCGTCTCAATCTACTTGCTAAACGCTGGGCCCTTCTGAAGGGCCGGGCGATTCATGTGTTGCAGTGTTCCCCCACTTGCTGTCCATCCCCTATCTTCCCTTGTCCCACTAACCTCGTACTACGGTGGCTAACATGGCCCCCGTTGCTTGTTTCCGGCGGAAGCCCGATTACTGCGCTGCCTGTGCTCCATTCATATCTTCGCGGAGGTGGAACCTGACGTCTTCGCCAACAACGCCGTGTCTGCTGGGCTCGTCGACAACGAGCCCCTGCGCGCCTATATCCTCCTGTTGTAAGTTGCAGGGACCGGCGGCTCCCGCACGCACGGACAAAGCTTATATTGTAACATGACACGTTGACTGAGCACGTTTTCTAGTGGCCTTGATCTGTACACGGCTTCCGACCATCTTCCACGAGCTCTTCATGACTCTGTCAAAGGTTCGTCTTATGCCGTTGACCAGACGGCATGGCAGGATGCCTTGGGTGTTTCCAAGTCCCGCTGGGATTGGCTCGAGGAGAAAACCAGCGCGTCGGACTTGCGCAAGGGCTGCAATGCTGCCGTTCAGGGAACGACTGACACGGATACCGCCACACGCACCGCCCCCAGTGCTCCCGGTGCTGGGGACCAGGGGTGTGACGCCGCTGCACCCAGCTCCAAGACGCCGTACCCAGGTGTGTTTGGTACCGAGCTGAGAAAGGTGGTAAGCAGTGGAGTCGGCGATGGCCAGCCTATTTCGAGGCCGGAACACGCCATCTTCAGCCTGGCCATGGTCGGCGGCGGCAGAGTGTTCGGTCGAGCTCATCTACACGGTACGTCCGACCCATTGCTTTGAATGTCGACAGAGCGAACAGACGGCCTCGTCATTTCACCGCTTACGTGGCAGGTCCACCGCAAACATGCTAATATGTATCCTGAACAGACTTTCCCTGGGCGTCCCTTGGAGCGGCTACTGTGGTTGACGTTGGTGGAGGCGTAGGTAAGGCGAACCTCTCTTTCGCTCTCTGACGCCCTCTATTCCCGTCCTCTTTCATCTCAACTCTCAATGCTCCACCGATCCAAGTCCTCTCTTCTATTCGAGACATGATCCTTCAACCGTATGAGCAGCGCGCCAGTCGTCATCACCCCCACTTCTTGGCCCTCGACGTTGAACTGTATTTTGGTCGAATAGAGGCTGTTGCTGATGTATCACAGGTGGCTTCTGCCTGCAACTTTCTCACCTCTACCCTGACCTCAAGTTCGTCCTTCAGGACCGTGGTCCGGCTATCGTCAAGGCCCAGAATGAGGTCTGGCCGCGGGAGAACCCCGCGGCCCTTGCTGCAGGTCGAATTCAGTTTGTCGCCCATGACTTCTTTGAGAAGAACCCCGTACCCGAAGCGGATGTATACTGGCTCCGATATGTGCTGCATGACTGGTCAGATGACTACTGCGTACGCATCCTCAGCGGTATCAGACAGAGCATGGGTCCTAGAAGTCGCATCTTGATCTGGTAAGTCAGCGATGAGACCTGGGACGCGGGACCAACCTCCGCCCCTCCGTTGTACCCCCCACTCCTCTTCCCTGTTCCCCCTTTCCCCCCTGTTCTCTTCACTGCTTCGCCCTCTTGGATCCTGACCCCTCGTTCCGCGAGTCCTAGTAACATGCTTGCTGATACACTTGCCGTCGGCCCTTAACAGCGATCAAGTCATGAACACAACGCACGGGTGCTCTGACCTGCCTCCGGCGCCCGAGCCCCTGCTGCCAAACTGGGGCTACTACACGAGATACTCGCATCAGCGGGACCTGGCCATGATGGCGATCATCAACGGCATCGAGCGGAAGCCGGACGAGTTCCGGGAGCTAGTGGAACGTGCCGGACTCCGACTGCGCAAAATCTGGGACTGCCGCAGCCAGGTTGGTCTGGTTGAAGTTGTCCTGCCCGACTCTGAGCTATAGAGCTTGTGTACTTGCGCTCATTGCCTTAAAAAGAAAATAGGCTGGGCTGAGATGGCCACTTAAGGACGCACAGAATGCAAACACAGCAGTCCGGCCTGAAGGGTCCAACAAACTTTGGGGGACGTAGCACTGATCTGGCCACGTTATCAGCTGCCTCGCAGATAGTCTATTTTGTGCAACCTCTTCTGAATAATAGCGCTGGCTCCATAGAAAGAATTGCGCAATTCGTTTCCCCCATCCTACGACGGCTTTCCCCGCCGGTACTGACAGGTTTTGATTGCATGCATTGAGCACAAACTGTATCTGTTCATGGCTGTCATTCAGATCATGTGCTGTTGGATGGGTGACATTCTTCCGAAGGAGTCAGGTGTCCTGTCCCGTAGCATTGGTTGCGGGTAGGGTACTATAAGGCAAGACGCTGTGAACGCCCTGAAAGGAGAAGTAAAGTGCGGTAACCGAGCGTGCTTAGAGTTTCGGCAGTGGCAAAGGCAATTCCTCCTACACCAACGTACGATCCAAGAGAGGAGCGACATACAATGGAAGTGACTATTTCGGCGGCAGTATAGTCATGTCGACAGATCATTACCCTAGACAGGTACCTATTCAGGAATAGTTTTGCCCTGCCCCCTTGTCACTGCTTTGCCTGCCGCTGTCTTGGCTGCAGCGGCCTTGCCTGTCCCAGTCATGTCAAACCCACCCCCACGGTGACCTCAGCCCGCATTCGGCCCCACAGATCACCCCGGTCAAGCCGGGTCGGCTCCGACTTTTTCACATGCCGCTACAAATCATGCTTAATGCCTGCCATTTGCGGGGCAAAGCCGCCATGGGTTCTAGCTGGTGTATAACGCAATCAGCTCGTAGGCATACTCACGAGGAGGGGGGGGGGGGGGGATATCTCAACGGGACTCGCTCTTCCCAGTGAGTAGTCTCGACAGCCAGTTCTCGCTTGGTTATGTTTGACAAGTGAGCATTATACCTTTGATTGTTCGAATATCGATATTGAGGCTTTGTGTCCCTCCCTTCTTCCCGTCATCTTTTCTGGGACTAGAAGCTTTGTTGTTGTTGTAGATACACTGCACTATCTATTCTTTCTCTCTCACGCGGACCAGGACGCCATGGACGCCGTGCAAGGCCCAAGACAGCCCAAGCGCTGGACGGAAGAAGAAGATGCCATTCTCCACGAGGAAGCGATCAAGCAAGGCAAGTATATCGTCTCTCGCTGAGCTTGGAAGCTCCAGTTCACATCTGCCCGTCTGCCTCCCTAACGTTACCCTCTGACAGCTTCACTGGGCCCAATTAAAGACTGGCATCGGATCGCGGCAAAGCTGGCGAACCGCACAAACAAGGACTGTCGCAAGCGCTGGTTCAACAAAGTACGCGGTGGCCTGAGAACTGGCCCGTGGAGCGAGGACGAGGACCAAAAACTTCGGCAGGCTGTGGAGAAGTATGGCCAAAGGTGGGAACCGCCGAGCAATTTTGATCATCCGCAAATCCACATATGGAACCAACGATGATTGTTATGCCAAGAGCACATAAGACTGACACGATGCAGATGGACTCTGATCTCCCAGGAGTTTGGGTCTCGCAGCTCTGACCGTGAGTACACATCCACATGTTTTACCTCTTACCCAACCAACAACTACATCGTGATGCACCCCACCCCCCGTTTACCCGCATTGCCCACTTTGCCTTGGTCACTCTCTGAAAGGCGAGATGACTTCTGGGAACACCAGGTTGCTCAAACCCACCTAGCAGCTGGCAATGCCAAGTCATGGTGGCTACACGGGAAAGCGAGAGAGTCAAGATGCTGATCGCAGTCATGGGTCAGAATGCGCCAAACGATGGCAGTACACCCTGGATCCCAAGCTCGGGCATCGGCAGTGGACCTCTGGCGAGGTGAGTCAAACTCCCTTCTCTCTTCGTTTATAGCTTCTGATCCTGGGCTGACATACTCTTGGAGGACCACCTCTTGCTTGAGTTAGTCCAGTCCTTCGGCCATGACTGGAAGTTCATTTGCCAGCAGCACTATCCAAGCAGATCAAGAACAGACGTCAAGAACCGGTGAGCAGCATACCTAGATGGGGGCACACCTCATGTGTTGTCTATAGCTCGCCGTGAAACTACACGGAACCGACGCCGTTATTCGTTGCTGGCAACTTCCCACATGGAAGAGTTCCTAATCACTAATTTTGTTCCTCATCTCCAGATATACCATTCTCAACCGCCGAATTGCTGCTGGCGCTCCGGGGGATTCACCATCTGAGGTGGCATCCCCTCTGGACCCTCCAGGCGAATGCTCGAACGAGATCCCCGACTCCCTCGATCACAGCAATGATGCAATGCATTGTGCGGAGGATGATCTTCAATACTTTTCTGCTGGCATTGATTCACTCGAAGTTCCTGAACCTCTGAGCGCCGGTGTGGCAGGACACCAGTCTACCCCGGAGTTTGGGCTATCTTTTCCTGACGACTTCGGTTTCAACCTGGAGGGCGATCCCAGCTACGGAGACACAAAAATGGATGGCTGTACGGACTCTCCCTTCTTCAGCAGCTCACAGCGCACATTCTCAGCATGCCCCACCGGGGCAACGGACGAGCCCAGCTGGCTGTTCACCAATGCTGATGGCGCACTGTCGCCGTCTGCGATGGCGCCCAGCGAGGGCACCCACGCCGGCCAGACGTTCACGAACATGTTTGACCTCGAATTGGATAACAAGGGGCAGCACCACATGTCCAAGACCTTTAGCGACCTTGAGTCTCCCACGAGCGCCCTTCAGTTCATCGAGGGGCTAGATCCGCGCGGGACAGAATCAGATATCAGGATAGCGGGCGGCGGCGAAAAGAGGTCTTCGTCATTCAGCGTGGTACTAGTTGCGGAGGAATGTGACCATGAGTTGGTCAAATATCTCATCGATGTCACCAAACCAATCAAGGGAAGGGTAAAGATGGAAGTTGTCATGTGAAGGATAGGATTCGGGAACTCTGCAGCAGGCCACGTCATAGCGAATGAATAGAGCATACATCTCAAACGTGCATCATGGCCAAGGTAGCAATACCGCACTCGACCTACATAGCGATAGGCTGGTAGGCCTCATACGTTGTGTGAAGGGAGTATTCGCGACTTCCTGCGGCGAGGATACCTTCTTCCCGTAATTTAGAGCATTCTATAGGAGTCAAAATATTACTACACAACGTTAATGGGCAGCAAGTTCCCAGATTTCAGGTGATAGCATCTGTGAAAGCAATGACTAACCTACCTATCTTAGGCAAACCTCGAAAGTTGCTTCGCCCACCAGCCGGCCAGTCTGACACTTAGCGGCAACAAATGTTTCAACTCGGCCAGAGGGAATCGGCGGCACTGCAAGCAAACAGCAAGTTGTTCGTCTTTGAGCAAAAGCAGTAGAATCGAGATCTGTTGCAATTCCATCACAAAGTCAAACATGCATCAGATGGATCCAGTGTACTGAGTCGCTTGCATCGAATGGCATGCTAGAATGGTACGACGCCCCATCGGCTTTATCGGCGTTGCCAGGGTCTGGCACACCTCCAGAACCGCGTTCCACCACAGCATATAGACCAACTGTCGGTGTTAAGATCTGGCCGACCGATAACCTGCCAAGCCTTGATTCCTGTGCACCTACTATGTAGTGGCTGTTGCGGGGCCTGGCAGCCAGCTATCAAGAATCTACACTCCCGTCGTGTCGTGACGTGAAAGACATGGGGGTGCCATACTCCGGTCCCTGCAGATGCAACCTCATCTCAGCCTTGGCGCTCACTCAAGTCGCATCAGGTAGGTGTGCATAGACTATAGCCAACGCCATGAAGCCAACAGGATGAAGTCTGACGGCGTTGGCACAAAAGTGCCATATCACCTCGCCTTGAAGGGTTTGTTTGCAGGCCTCTTGTTTCCACACGATTTTGCCCACTTCCGTCCAACCCCCAAGCCCCTTACGATCTCAACCTCTTGGGCTTCAAGATATATCTATTCACAAAACTTAAAAGAACTCACCATCATGTCCAAAGTCTGGCTCATCACCGGCTGTTCCTCCGGGTTCGGCCAACAAATCGCCCTGGCAGCCCTCGCCCGCGGAGATACCGTCCTGGCCACAGCCCGCAACCCCCGAACCCTCACAGATCTTGCCAGCAAAGGTGCCATCGTTGAAAGACTGGACGTTACCGACACAGACGAAAGCCTTGCTGCCTCCGTCAATGGCTTCCTATCCAAAACGGGTGGCAAACTTGACATACTCGTGAACAACGCCGGATACATCCTGTCCGGTGGCGTCGAGGAATGCAGCCGCGCTGAGGTCCAGGCCACATTCAACACCAACGTTTTCGGGCAGTTGAACGTGCTCCGAGCCGTACTTCCCGTCATGAGGAAGCAGCGGAGCGGCATCGTTGCCAACCTTGGCAGCATCGGCGGCTGGTCCGGCTCGCCGGCTGCCGGATTATACTGCGCCACCAAGGCATGCGCCGCCATGATTTCCGAGTCACTGCGGCTTGAGGTCGCCCACTTGGGCATTAAGGTGGTCTGCATCGAGCCGGGATATTTCCGCACCAACTTCCTTGCGCCGGGCCACCGAACCCGCGCTGCCACGGTCATCGACGACCTGGCGGCCGGCGTCGACGGGACAATCACCGCTCTGGACGCGTATGACCGCCAACAGCCGGGAGATCCGGCTAAAGGAGCGTCGGTCATCGTCGAGGTACTCACTGGCACGGGAAGGGCCGCTGGTCGAGAGTTGCCGCCGCGACTTGTTGTGGGGAGGGACGCTTACGAGATCATCTCGGGGAACCTAGATCGCAACCGGGCCAGCTTGGAGGCCTGGAAAGATGTGACTACGACAACTGACTGCGATGCATAATGCATAATGCATAATGCATAATGTAAGATGTAGGCTGCCTTGTCGTTGCATCCCAGTTCTTCTGCAAGCTGGTCAAGTCACGATGTGCCATGACCTGATCCCACGCTGCATCCTAGTGACGTCCGCACCTATTAGTTCACCTCATTTAAATAGCAGCAAAGAAAAAGTTGTGAATAAAGTACAACACTTGCTCATTCACACTCCCTTCCGGAACTTTAACTTAGTAGAGTCGTGTTTTCTTAACTTTCTGCGGGATAAGCGATGGATGGGTCTGGTGGATGGTTCCATGATAGACATGGTTGAATGGACAGGGTCATTCTTCGGCCTTTTACTAATGGATCCCCATCAAACGAGTCAACTTCCCGCTAATAGCCTACTGTAATAGCCCTGGGGATTTTAGACTTTGGCGTCAGGCCTTGACGTGTTGTTGTGCTCTCAAAATCTTTGCCGCTGCATTTTTGTAACTGAAATGTATCGTGACTGATGGTATTTTTGCATCCACAAATACTCGGCCATTACTCTAGAAAACCCTCCTTCCGCCACCGCGCGACATACTTCGCGATCAGTTGCTGAGGGACTCCCCCGCTACTTCGCAGAGTTTCTGATACAGCCAGAGCCCTCGCTGTATCGAGCACTACAGACCCGCTAGCTAAAGCCTGAAAATGGTCCCTGAAAAATCCCTCTAATGAGCGGAGTGCCCCAGCATCACAAGACTGTTGCATCCACTCCTCGAATGGGATGGTCCTGGTGGGCAGACCGAGCTCCGCCGCGAAAAAGGCGCAGATATCGGCAAGGGGTTGCCGGACAGGATTCTCCAAGTGCAAGAAAAGAGGGACATCCGCTGCGTGTAAGGCTATTTCCGTAAGAGATTTGGCAGCACGGTCGACAGGCAGCCACGATGCTGTCTTTAAGACAAAGAATATTAGCATCACTGTCCGAGGAGGCACGTTAGAAATAAAAAGATGGACAAAACTTACCCCTTCAAGAGCGGGCAACCCCCCAACGATCTGACTCGCTTTCACCAGCGCGGGAATGTGCTCCGCCGTCTTCCATGCGCCCTCGCCGCTCTCTGGCCCGCTGAGCTGCCCGATGCGCACAACAACAGGCTCAACTTCGTCCCGTAGCTCTTGGCTGACCTGCGCGAGCATTTGCTCACACACCCACTTGGCTTCCGCATAGCCCATGGGCGTGGCAATGCATGGGTCATGAAACCCCATTTCCGGGACGGCGCCCGTTGCAGAGCGGCCGTACACCGAACCCTGCGCATCGGAATAGCTCCGTACCACGGCAATGGACGATGCAAAGACAAGGCGCACCCGGCCTGTGACTGCGCCAGCGCCGCGCAATCGCGCAGCCCTGGCAAGTTGAATCAGTCCCTGCGTCGCGCGGAGTTGAGGCCGAAAGCTTTCGAGCGTGCGATGAAAGTCCATCGGCCACGCCAGGTGGATGATATGGGACACCTGGTCTGCAATTCTGCTGAAGCTGGACTGAGTGTCCTGGAAGCAGTTCGTGCCCTTCGCCCAATGGCCTGGGTCGCACTGCTCAAACTCGACCTTTTCCCATTGCTGTGGGCTCAAGCTCAGGCCAGCAGCCCCCAGAGCTGTTCTGACGCGCTGTTCGGGGGTGCCCTGTCCACTGTTTCCTTCTCGCACGAGGCAGATGATTTTCTTGACCAGTGGGTTGGAGGCTAGCTGAGCCACGACATTGGCGCCCAGATTACCAGTCGCGCCAGTGATTGCGACAGTGAAAGGGGTCTTTGGGGTTCTGGGCATGGTCTGGGCACGAATATCCCGGACGCAGTCACCCAAAAGCGCCCGAATGTTCCTCAGTCGTGAGTCGGGACCTGGAGTGTCCTGGGACTCCGTACTGCCGCCTGTATTTTCTCCCTGCTCAGAAAGCAATTGGGTAACTGCTTGAGCGAGACGCCGAATGGATGGGTTCGCGTAAACAAACTCCTTGGTGACCAGTCGCCGAGACTTGGCCTCGCGGCTGGCGTGCTTCTCGCTCAGGGCCGAATTGAGCAGCCTGGCCAGCCGAACACACTGAAGGGAGTCCATGCCCCGTTCGAATAAGTCATCCTCTTCGCCAAAATCCAAAAGAGACTCGGAGAACAAGTTCGTCGCCACCGCCCTGACCATCTTTTGGACACTCGTCACCATATCGGATGTGTCGGTGATGGTATCGCCCGCAGTCACCTCATTATCCAACTCGGCGTAGGCAGCCTCAATTTCCTCTCGGAACAGGTCTGCAACCTCCCGGCGCATGACGGAACCTTTGTCTGATCTAGGAATTGACTTGCCGGGGGGCTTGACAATGATTGCATTGATCGAAGATATCCGAGCATGCTGATCTAGAGTCTCGTTGAGGGACTTAACCAAATCCCATACATGCCTTTTGAAATCGTTCACCTGTACAGATGATGACGGTTCAACAACGACAATAATTTCAAACGCGCCGCTACCGACACAAACAGCCGTTTGAATTTGTGGATCTGCCATGAGTGCTGTTTCCACTAGACGCGGCATGACTTTCTCGCCCGACTTGAGGACAATGACATCGTCCATGCGGCCAATGATCCGTACTTCGATCCTGGAAGGGTTGTCCTGATTTCGCTCCAGTTCATCTTGTACTTCGAATGGCGTATGCCAGCCAACGGGGTATCCAATAAGTTTGAAGCGTTCAGACCCTTTAATGGGCTGAAGATGAAGCCCGAGATCCTCACGTAGTCGTAGGTAGCGATGGTCGTAGTCGGGGCCAGGGTGGAAGATTGATGCGATGGCCCCGATCTCAGTGACACCGTAATGATTGACGAGCTTGATCTTATTTTCAACCAGATGCGTGCCAAGGTCTGGTCTCAGTGCTCCACCACCCACAGCAACGAATGACAGCGCCTTGAGTGAGTTCACGGCAACGATCTTTTCATCGTCAGGAAGCGATAAAAGGTCCTCAACAATGCTAGGGACGGTCAACAGTGCCTCTGCTTTAAATAGTTGAAGCAGATCAACAGTTGACCGCCCTGCTGGAATGACAGAGGCCGGAGGAAAACAGCAGGTCATTCCGATGGAGAGGCTCAGACACGGCGCAAGTAATCCAAAGCCATGATACATTGGCAAGGTTGAGAGGCTTCTTGAGCATACTTCGTTTTCGCTGATCTCGTGACAGGCGGCGTAGCCCAAGATATAGCGTGGTGCAAGATAAATGGGCTTTGGAAGGCCGGTCGTCCCAGAGGAATGAAGGATCAAAGCTCCAACGTTTGTTCCCGAATCTGTACCGTTGGTACTTAACCTTGACCCTAGATGGAGGGGACTCTCAGCAGTTGGACTTGTGGGCTGCTGAAGCCTCTTTCCATCGAAGTCTAGGCTGCCGTCTGGAATCGTCTCGTGAAGGAACTCCTGCCAATGCAGCACCTCAGTCATGCCCACACCCCCAAGGGCGCTCTCTTGTAACATCAACTTGGTTCTTCTAGTGACCAGTATGAAGGATGCCCCGGTTTCTCTTAGAAGATGAGCAACACTTAGCGGACCAAGTCTTGCTGATATCAGTAGAAGCTGTCGATTTCACGGTCAGGACTTGTAGTTATGATGGGGCTGGACCACTGGAACTCTTACGGGGATCTTCAACTCCGTCAAAGCTGCTAGATAGATGAATAAACCAACATCGCTTTCCATATAAAGCGCAATTGGTCTGTGATCCTCCATCAAAGCTCTGCGCAAAGCTTTACCTATCCAGGCTGCGCAGGCCCTGACTGCAGCATCGAGCTGCCCATATGATATGCTGCAACAATGGTACTTGTTACCAAAACTTTTATCATCTTCATCCAAGGCTGGATTTTGAACTATTAAAGCCTGTTTGCAGAATATTTCCTTGTTGTTCTTTTCGGCGTTGAAACGAATCAAGCCCGATAGAGAGGATATTTCATCTTGATCAGAAGTTGCCGAGAAGCTCTTCGAGGGGCTTGGGTGGAAGCGAGGTCGCACGAAGTGTTTGGAGGATGTGTGCCGCATTTTTCCAGTTGAAATGAAGGGTAAAGGTGCAGGTGCAGTTGTGAGACACTGGGCCTTCTCTTTGGAGGGTGCGGTTGTTCAAGATGATGGGACACTAGGAGGACGCAGTTGGCGCTTAATTGTTGCCGCGAGCATTTCCAGCGAGATAAGGCTTCTTGCCTGTCAGTACCCGAACCAAAACATGCAAAACCGAACAGGTGGTTTGAAACCCTGATTTGGTAAGTTCTAGTCCAAGTAACTGGGACCGGAGTGATACGATTAGGTTGCTCCTCACCAAGCACCGAGTGTACGCAGGGTCTAAGGACCGGAGTATCTGAACCCCAACAGGCCACTTCTCGGGACTTTTCACATGCTTTCAGTATATGCATTACTGTTGGAAAGGTCTTGGTAGTTGAGAAGAGTACTTGTCTCACTGCCTTTAGCAACTAGGTTTGAACTGACCCTCAGCCGCTACAGACTCAACTCGCGGACTACGGTAATTCTTGAAACTTTAAACACACAAGACAGAAGGTCAACCTTCGCCACCATTCAACATCAAACAAGGCCTGAATTCTATTCTACAAGCAACTTCAAGCAATGGGTGTCTCACGGGATGTGCTTGTCTTTGCCGGGCAAGGGTCCGACGGGCACTTTTCGGACAAGCACACAACAGTCAGCCTGCTTGAGCGTCTTGGAGACGGCTCTGAGCAACTATGGAACAGATTCCTGTCTCAATGCCACGCCTCATTTGAGAGTCTTTACCAAAATCTGCCTGAAAACGAGCGATCGATATTTCCCGACAACACCCTGGCATCCTTTCCAACATCGGATGATTTCCTGTACCCATCACCGGCGTTCCATTCTCACCCGGTCTTTCAAGCGACAACTTTATTTATGCGACAAGTTTTAGACCTATTCATTTACCAAGACTATCGTGGCAAGTCTGCCGTGGTTGTGGAGGCCTCTGGGGTCTGCACTGGAGCTTTGGCTGCCATCTTGGCCTCCGCATTCACGTCGTATGATTCTGCAGAATTTGTCACCGCCGCAGTCAACGGTTTCAGAGTATCCTTCTGGGTTGGACTTCGAGCTTCGCTACACTGCAGGGCAATCATGGGGCCCGACTGGAGAGCGAGCCCCTGTGTTTTGAGCATCTTCAAAACGCGAACCCCACAGGTTGAAAACTGCTTGTCCGAGCTCAACTCGACCCTTGACGTATGTATTCGTTCCTAAGTCTCGTCAAATATGCTTCGAAGCTGACTGAATCCCCCTCAGGCATCGGACATGCCGCTGAGACTCTCTGCAATCTTTGACGAAAATTCAACGTCAGTGACCGGACCAGGACGCAGTCTGGACAAGCTCAAATCCACCATCTCTTCACTTCCAGAGCCTGGCACATGTCGTTGGGCGCACGTGCACGGCTTTTACCACGGTGGTGATGAGATGAAGCAGGTATCAGATCAAGTCAAAAATGACATTTGCGGCATCGAGTTCCCCAACTGGCCTGTGCTCCATGCTTCGCTGAGGTCCACGGCCACAGGGCAAATATTTCAAGCCAACGACAAAAGTGTATCACTTCTCAGCAGGGCTGTTGAAAACATATTTTGCGACTTTGTTGACTGGAAGCTCACCTGGGAGGCAGCTATGGCGGACTATGCCAAGAAAACCCGCCATGACTCGAATGCTACAATTCGAGTCATCGGAATAGGGCCCTCTGCCAAGTCTTTGCTGGGCGCAAACAAGGACAAGATCCGTGATGCTGGAATACAAGTCATCGGGCATTTGTCAGAGGAGTTAGACATGATTGTGGACGATGACATTGCCATTGTTGGTGTATCTGCCAACTTTCCTGGAGAAAAGGGGCTTGATGGGTTCTGGAATATCATCAGCGACGCCCGAAGTTGCGCTACTGAGGTAATTATTCCTCTCACACATATAGCTGTATTTGACCTGACAGAATGCAACAGATCCCAGGCTCCAGGTTCAACGTCTCCGACTATCACCAGCCCAACAGCGGAGCCCCCAATACTCCCCGACAGATGGGTTCCAAGCATGGCAACTTCCTCGACAATCCTTTCACCTTCGACACGGAGTTTTTCAACATTTCTCCAAGAGAGGCCAAGTCTATGGACCCGCAGCAGCGTCTCCTGCTGCATGCTGCTGTTGAAGCCCTAGATGATGCAGGATATTCGCCTGGGGCTACCCCTAGCTTTCAGCAAGCCTCCTTTGGAGTTTACGTCGGTGCAGCTACGGGTGACTATGTAGACAATCTGCGGGATGAAATCGACGTCTATTACAGCCCAGGTAAGTGATGTACAGTCCGTGAACCACACATCGAAAGACTTGCAATGCGTGAATCACATCGACCCTTCTATCTAACGCCGGCTGCTAGGAACTTTACGAGCATTTCTGAGCGGTCGCATCTCGTACGCCTTTGGCTTCAAAGGTCCCTCCGTCGTCACTGATACCGCATGTTCATCATCTCTGGTCTCAATTTATCATGCCTGCAAAGCCTTGCAATCCGGAGATTGCACTGCCGCGCTGGCGGGTGGCGTAAACGTCATCTCAAGCCCTGATGTACGCAAATTCTGCCCTGACCATTGAGCCCTTGCACCCGGGACTGACCTTGCCCACAGATGTACCTTGGCCTTTCCAGAGCTCACTTTTTGAGCCCCACGGGCCAGTGTAAGCCCTTTGACGCTGAGGCAGACGGTTATTGCCGAGCAGAAGGTTGTGCTTTGGTCGTTCTCAAGAAACTATCTCAAGCCCGAGCAGAAGGCGATCATATCTATGGCGTCATCCGAGGCATCGGCGTCAACCAGTGCGGAACTGCGAAGTCCATAACGCACCCAGATTACAAAACGCAGGCTGAGCTCTTCTCGCAAACTCTCCAGCTGAGTAGGCTGAGCTCCGCAAGCATCGATGTTGTCGAGGCGCATGGTACAGGCACACAAGCTGGCGACTTTGCCGAGGTGTCAAGTTTATCCTCTGTTTTCAAAGGACGTCCAGCAGACAATCCGCTGCATCTGGGTTCTGTCAAAGGAAACATCGGCCACGTCGAGGCCGCGTCAGGCATCGCTGGTCTCATCAAACTTCTCCTTATGATGAAGCATGAAACCATTCCTCAACAGGGATCTTTCCAGACGTTGAATCCTAGGCTGACTCCCCTAGCCAACGAGCACAATCTCGTAGTCCCAAGCAGTCCCCGCAAGTGGACAAGGACCAAGGGTCACCCTAGACGAGCGCTTCTGAACAATTTCGGCGCTGCTGGTTCAAACGCTGCGCTGATTCTTGAGGAAGCCCCTCGCGAAGCCTCGCCTACCAGGGCGTCGATATCACAACGCAGCCAGCATCTACTGACAATGTCCGCGAGGAGCGCCAAAGCTCTGGAGCGCTTGAGATCAGACTACGCCTCTTTCCTTCACAAAAACCGACATTGTATGATACAAGACATATGCTACACTTCCAGTGTCAGGCGGCGTCATCACAAAGAATTCCGGTGGTCTGCCGCTGCGGCTAATATTGAGGACTTGTTGGTGCAGATACAGACGACGGCTGCGCCCCCGCAACGAATTCTTTCTAAACCGTCGAAAACAGTGTTCGTGTTCGCTGGTCAAGGTGGTGCCCACGAAGGTATGAGTGCCGAGCTTCTGCGCACATCTTCAGTCTTTCGGGATGCCGTTCGGGAATGTGATACCATCCTGCGGCGGCATGAATTTCCAACGGTCGAATCCTACCTAGACCCGACGGCTTCTGCAGTTAGCCATGCTCCAGTGCACGAAAGGGATGCTATTATCTTGGTTCAGTGTGCATGCTTCGTATTGCAGTATGCGTTGACGCGGCTCTTGCAGAGCTTTGGGTTGACCCCCGACCTTGTTTTGGGTCATAGGTCAGTACTAACTCTTATCACGCTACTTTCACCCTACTGATGAAAATTGGTTTACAGCATTGGAGAGTATGCCGCACTCGTCACTGCAGAGGCCCTTGGGCTGAATGATGCCTTGCTGTTTGTTGCTAGGAGAGCAGAACTGATGGTAAACCACTGCGAGGCAGGGGAGTCTGGCATGCTGGCATGTCGAATGTCTCCTCCAGATGCCTCACAATTCCTTCAAAACCGGTTCACTGCGTCGACTGACGAGTTAGTTGTGGCATGCCACAACAGCCCAGAGGACTGTGTTATTGCCGGTCCTACCGCACGCCTCATACAGGTTTCTGAGGTGTTCAAGGCCGAGGGCGTCAAGAGCAAGCTGCTGAATGTCTCCTATGGATTCCATTCACCTTTCATGAATGCCATAACGCCCAGTCTGAGGAATGTCGCCTCATCCATGGCCATCCGTCGGCCTAACATACAGGTTGGCTCCAGTGTTCTCGGACAGCTGATACAAGGACACGAAATCCTTAGTCCTGACTATTTTGTCAACCAGACAAGCCATCCAGTCTTGTTCATGGAGCTTCTGGCAGATATCCAGTCCAAGACTTTACAAACAACTCTGCAAGTGATAGAGATTGGACCATCGACCTCAAGTACGTTTATTCTCTTACCAGGCTTCACTTCTTCACAGTCATTCTTGAGTGATACTTATTGTTTTCTACAGCAAGTTCTATGTTGAAGTCGTCTTTCACGAAAATCCCATATTCGTACTCACCATCGCTGCGACCATCCGAGTCCCCTTGGAAAACGATCACATCCGCACTTCAAGGCCTTTACCAGTCAGGGCAGGACCTTAACTGGGATGCAGTCTTCAGAGACGAGTCACCACGCTTTTTGAAGAAGGTGCCGTCCCAAGTTCTTGATGGCAACGAGTATGTGGTTCGATATCATGAGCCAATGTCCACAAACAAGCCTACTAAGGACGTGGATTCCGACTTGTCCTCAACTGGCTTCGAATTGTTGGCCTCATCTGCCATGACCGCTCTCAAAGATGGGTCAAGCATTTTTCATGTCCCGATTGCTAGGTTCTCGAAACTTATCGAGGCACATGCTGTTGGGGGCGTCCCGCTCTGCCCAGCATCTGTCTACCTCGAACTGGCCTTAGAGGCGCTTTCAGTGATCAACACCACCTTCAACGCCCCGAGATGGTACTCAGTCGACGATGTCTGCTTCGAACACCCTTTGGTGTTCTCAAAGGTCAGGTCAGACGTTGTGGAAGTCAAAATACAGTCGACTGGGCAAACCGCTTCTCTTGGATCATCCCGTTTCTCCATTTCGAATCGCGACCATGGCCACCTCAACTGTTCCGGTTTTATCTCACCCATGGTTGAACAGTCTATCGAGGAGCTCTTTATGGTGAAAAGTGCGTACGTCAGGAAGCAAAAGGCCATTTTATTCCAGCTCGCAGCTTCCAACACCCTGGAGACGTTTACTTCTCGAACAATTTACGATGTCATATTCCCTCGCGTTGTATCATATTCGGAGCCATTTCGGACCCTCAAACATCTTACGATCAGCTCGTTTAGTTGGGAAGGCTACGGCACGTTCCAGCTCTCCACTACTCCGCAGTCCGGCAAATTTGTCTCCCCACCCCCGTTCGTGGACACCATGCTACATGCAGCAGGGTTTATTGCCAACGCCAAAGCGGATGTCAAAACAGCATGCATATGTGTGAATCTTGGCCGCACCGTGCTTCCGGATATGTCGAAACTTCAACCAGGTGGCCAAATGGACATCTACTGCAGCCTACTCGATGTGGGTGACAGCACTCTGGCAGATGCATATGTTCTCGATCAAGACGGCCAGATCGTTTCATTCGCGGAAGGAATGCGTTTCAAGAAGATTCGCCTGAGCTCTTTTCAAGCTGCCTTGTCCCGTGCAACGCAGACAGAAGGCAAAACTAGAATCGAGTCGTTGCCCAAACAGGTTGAGGGACTGCTCAGGAATCCGAAGCCCCCAAACAGCTCAAAGTTGCAGATACAGGCACCCCCGACGCCGTCCGAATCTATGGCAGAGGTCGTGAAACAGATGGTTCAGTCTGTGTGCGGCGTTTCTTTGGATTCATCCTCCGGTCGAACGTTGACCGAGCTGGGCATTGACAGCTTGCTATTTATTGAGTTGTCACAGGCCATTGCGTCGCGTTTCCCAAATCTCGTTGTGTCAACGGGCGAGATCGAAAGATGCCAGACTATGAGCGACCTGATTCAGCTACTGGCCAAGGCTCAAGGACATGATGATGTTTCCATGGCTCTGCCACCCTCGGTGTTATTAGATCACCTGGCACCTGAGGGCAACAACCCGCCGTCACCACCAACAGAGCCTGTGGGAACCGATGTTGCGTCCGAGGTTCGGGAGCTGTTCGTTGACATCTGTGGGAGGTCCATTACCGTTGATGACAAGGATGCAAGTCTTGCTTCTCTTGGGGTGGACTCCTTACTTTCCATCGAGCTCATCCACGAACTCCGCCATCGATTCGGGTTGGATCTTGAGGCGCTGCAGTCCACCATCTCAGATATGAGCATCAACAACATCGAGGCTCTATATGCTGCGAACATTTCATCTTCGAGTAATGATGTTTCGTACTCTGGCGACATCCTTGGTTCCTTTCCTGACCAGTCCTGCAACCTCGCAGAGCCAGAACTGCCCCTCCAAAAAGTAAACGATCAACGAGGTGCCACCGACATTTTTTCACATTTTATCCCATCAACCTTCCCTCAAATTCTACAAACTATCGACTCTGACATAGCGCCCTACAAGTCACCTCTCTACTTGTTTCACGATGGCAGCGGATTATCGAGCATGTACGCTCGCGTGAAACCCCTCGGACGGTCTGTCCGAGGCATCTTCAGTCCCGATGTCCCTGCCATTGACCCTGCAATTCAGTCCATGCAAGAGCTGGCATCCCGATACATTATGCAAGCAAATTTGATGTCTGAGAATAGACCAATTCTCTGTGGTGAGTGCAAATAGTGGCCGTCGCGGTAGAATTATTTGGTCAATTTGCTCACACATATTAGGCTGGTCGTTCGGTGGCGTGCTAGCGCTCGAGGTCTCCCACCAACTGCAGCAGCGCGGAAACTCGCCAAGGGGCATCATTCTCATCGATTCTCCCTTGCCAATTGAGCATGAGCCCCTGCCTGAGGAGATCATCTCTCGTGTTGTCAGAAAATTTCCGAGCCTGCACGAATCAGGGGCTGCAGCAAAGGTGCGATCTTGCGTCGAGGCCCAGTTCCGTCGTCATGCAGGACTCTTGAAAGGATACAGCCCTTTACCTCTTAGAGGTGACGTTCCTTGCGTTTCCATTGTCTGCAAGAAGACGATCGATACCCAAGCGCTTTGCGGCGTTTCGTATCCCTGGCTCTCCGATAGTGGCTTTCGAGACAAGTCATTGAAGGGCTGGGAGAGACTCCTTGGCCGTGAGATCCCCGTTTTAGAGATTGACTGCAACCATTTTGAAGTGTTTGACGCGCCGAATGTAAGTCACCACTGATCTCCATGATGACACGACTGGCAATTGTACTTACGCTGGCGTAGATCGACGAGGTCTCCGCACGGCTGGAGAGAGCGTGTGAGATACTGGACAGAGTTGAAGAATAGGCGTTGGTTGAGGGTACGGTTTTGCACATGTGACACGCGCTGATTGTGGTGACTTCTTTCCATTTATGAGTTGGACCAGGTAGTGTTAGGAGTTCATGGGTTCTTTCAATTGCATCTTGGCTCCAGAGTTCCATCTTTCAATTCAGCAATGGCTGTTCTGACTGTCCAGGGCTCAGGTGCCCAAGGAACAACACCATTTGCAAATGCAAGCGACTTTTGAAAGTACAATTGCTCAACAGTCACTCTTTTTGTGACATGTATCGTCACAAATGTCGCCCCTTTGAGAATCATGAAAGCTCAGTCTTGCTACACCTTGGAGGCTAATCCTCACCCGAATTCAGATTTCGTACCCCGATATCAGAGAATACATTAGCTTTCCACTATGTTCAGCATTCAGTAGCAGGTCAAGTTGACAATTGACCTTTTCTTTGGTGAGCATCAAGTTTTTGGGCCCCCACGAACGTCAGAGGCGCCAAACTGCTGGGACTGCATGAATAATTTCACTGAGGTGGTACCCCCACGATTGCGTGCTTGAACCACATCCACACCTACATCATCCGGCTGCGAGAGGGGCAAAATCGACGGCGTGTGGAGATCCGCGCTTGTAAAATCGTCAAAATCTTGCATCTGACATCGGTTGGTTGATATTGTGAGACACTGTCGCAAAACTGCTTGTCTTGTCTTCGACGTCGACGCTGGAAGCGCACCAAATCGACCCCAGTACGAAATTCACGCAGCCTTGCATCGGAGAGAGCAATTGTATGTGAATATGAGGTCTACTCATCTTCGCTTGCCAGACGAGGAAGACACTCTGGAGTCGCAACATGATATTCCTCCTGGGGCAGCTACCGGCGAGGCGGCAGAGGACTCAGAAACGACACTCGCCCCTCGTGAAGACCAGCCACTGCTTCAATCACCAGACGCAGATGTTGGTGATTCTTGGACCCCACCGTCAGGCTTCGGATGGATAGAGCTTGCCATCATGTCCAACGTTTTCTTATATGGTTTTGACGGAACGATCACCGCGGCCACATACGCCATCATCAGTTCCGAATTTGATGCGGCCAACACCGCATCTTGGCTCACCACTTCGTACCTGGTGACGAGCACCGCGTTTCAGCCACTCTACGGACGATTTTCCGATATATTTGGAAGAAGAGTTTGCTTTTTCGTCAGCACCATCACTTTTGGGCTTGGCTGTCTCGGTTGTGGATTGGCAAATCACATCGTTGTTCTCAACTGCATGCGGGCACTGACAGGATTTGGTGGTGGAGGTTTGATGACAATGGGTGAGTGCACTGCTTCAGTCACTGAGTCGGTGCTCTAACGAATGCTCAGCAACAATCGTCAATTCCGATATGATCCCCTTTCGCAAGAGAGGCATGTACCAGGCCATGCAAAACGGCATGTTTGGATTTGGCGCAGTAGCAGGCGCCTCATTTGGCGGCTCTATCGCAGACTACATTGGTTGGCGTTGGTGCTTCCTCCTACAGGTTCCCATTTCGCTCATGGCGCTTGTCCTGGGCGCATTCGTGATCAAGAACCCCGAAGGTGGGTTCGATATCGATACAAAGGACTTGCGGGCCGTTTGGACTCACGTTGATGTTTCGGGAGCACTTCTCCTGGTAACTGCCGTGTCCGTCCAACTCATCGGCCTCAGTCTGGGCGGTAATGAGTTACCTTGGGGTAGCCCAGTAGTCATTGGGACTCTTGTTGGCAGTGCCTTGTTGCTTGCCCTATTCTTTTTGGTTGAGTCAAGGACACGAGCAATCCCCGTCATCCCGTTGCGCATGCTGAAGGGCAGGCTTCCTGTCTTGACCCAACTTTCCAACGTCTGCGCTGGCTTTGCTGCATATGCGGTAAGTGAGTGATCTTCGTGTGAACTTGACTATTGCTAATGAGTACAACTAGTATCTGTTCATGCTTCCCCTGTTCTTTCAAGTGGTTTTGCTCGATTCTGCTACGAAAGCAGGGGCCCGGCTGGCGATCCCGTCTCTCGCCACACCTTTGGGAGGGCTCGTGGCCGGCATCGTCATGTCTCGTTGGGGCAAACTGATCTGGCTTATCAGGCTGGGTGCGCTCCTTATGCTCTTCGGAAACGGCCTCGTGACGTCTTTGCAATTCGAAGATTCCAAATGGAAATACTTGCTGTACATCTTTCCCGCGAACTTGGGCCAGGGCATCATCTACCCTTCGATCCTCTTCACTACCCTTGCCTCATTCGACCATGCAGGTAAGCTTCGATTCGTGCTGCCATAATGGAAGGGTTTCCAACTGATTGGCTTTTAGATCATGCCGTCTCGGCCTCGACCGTCTACCTTGTTCGCTCGCTAGGAACGGTTTGGGGAGTTGCTATCACCTCTGCTATCGTTCAGACCACCCTGAGTATCCGGCTTCCCGCAGTTCTTGGTGACATACCAAACAAAGAACAGGTACGTGACACTTTGATCGCCACTCGAAGTTTATTCCGACTGCTGTTCAACAGCTGGACACTGCCATGGGTGGAATCAGGATTGACGTCGCCTAGCTTATCGAAGAGATACGCCATTCGGTAACAGCGCTCAAGTCAGCGCCAGTCGAAGTCCGACTGCCTGTCCGCCTCGTCTACTACGAAGGTATCAAGTATGCATTCGCCGCATCTACGGCGGCTGCTGGGATATCTTTCGTGGCGGCCCTCTTCGCTCACCCCCGAGGTCTGCGCAGCACTCACAAGTAAAGAACTGAGGTGTCGCCAAAGCGTCTCCGACACGCGCGTTCTCCCCCGGACTCACTGCACGGCGCCAAGTTAGGTTCGGCATCGGCACGGAGACCAGACCGCAAGGACCACATTACGCGGGGATGTTGACACTGCATTCTTGGGAGGGTGACGGGAGGGGCCGGAACTTTAAAATCGCGAGAGAAGAAGAAACATTTTAAACTTTCGGCGTTGAAGGCTTTTCCTGGCCAACGGCCCCGCACCACGAGACTTGATCAATGCTTGATGGAAATCCGGGGTAAGCGGGCGAAAAGCTTGTCATTGACTTTCCCATGCACGGTTCAACAGTCAGATTACCCAAAGGAGCCGCGTGCATGGTCGAGTGACCACAGGCCAAGACATTGACCAAGTTCTCCATTGAAGCATGTTTGATCAAGTCACGGGCAGGGAGAGGCAATACGCGAGAAACGTTAGAGTGAGAATTATTAAACCTGACTTGTGTGCAGATGCACAGACGCCATAGTCGGCGAAGACCCCTCGGTATGATTGACCGACAGCCCCATGCTGACATCGTCAGTCGGGCCAGCCTCTAGTCATAGAGAGGGGTGAATCATAGTGACAAGGAGCCATTCTGTATGTTGAACTGTTGTCATACTGGCAATACGACCTTAATCTTGTAGCAATACTGAACTTCCTCCAATGATGCTTCGGTTCTCCTTGCAAGCCGAGTCCGTTTCCTGGTTCCCTTGGTTCATTACACAGAACGCTTTGCATCGTGGGGTACTGAAGCTCACAGCATGAACTTCCACCAATACCAAGAGAAACCCGATAAATGCGTTTTAAGGATGAACATCCTGCAGGTGTCGGTATCACATTCCGGTCTCAGTTATTATCGCGCGCTAACAAGAAGGGTCGCGTCATATTTCCCTGCATCCCACTTGTCATATCGTGGAAACGGGAGTCGAAGTTTCTCCGGATGACAACCAAAATTCTCATGCGTGAATTGCGCTACGTAAGGGTCACGAGCTACCATTCACTGCATACGACCGGCGGTCGGATCGGCAGAGGACTGAGCATCGTCGATCTTTCACAACGCTGGCCGAGATGAAGATCTGCAAGTCGTCACTGGATTGGTGGAGAGTCGGCTTCGATCCGCATGCTAGGACAGCCAGGTTCTGTGCTAAAATGCTTCCATCATTGCCCGCAATACCCTCGTGGCAGTGCAGTCATCGGTTCACCGGGCTCAAAATCTTGATGAAGCACTATGCGGGAGGATCTCACCTGGCTGCAAGAGCCGGTCTGGGGAAACCAAGGCAGTGAACAACAAAGAAAAATAACTCTGCAGCGATGGTTTCCCCAGCTATTGGGGTGCATGCTGTCCTGCACTCTTTCTGTGCCACGCACTCGGATGACATATTCCCCCGCCTCCTGCTCGGTACATGTGTCGCCCGTGGGCCGCAATTCCCCAGGTAGGTACAGATTGGGCAGGTTGGCAGTGCGGAGACGTCACATCACAGGAATCCGCCCCTGCACCCCATGTTTTGGATTTGCTGTTAGGTGCTGCTTGGACGCAGAGCCGGGAGATGGCCGGGACAATGATGACCGAGATCATATTGTACCTGACCATGACCTCGTCTGCATCTGGCAAACTCATCGTGCAAATGACTTGACAACACGGAGTCGCCTGACTCAAGTTGACATGACGCAAGTTGCTTTCATCTCAAAGGCTGAGTTGGAACCTAGACGCCATGGACTATGGGCACTGCTGAATACGTTGAACAGCATCGGGTCGCCGTCCCGTCTTCGAGATGTACATTGAAGCATCTTCGTCGGGACCATCGGTTTACCCCTGGGAGAGGCGTTTTCCTGCCGCACCACCAACAGCATACTTCCAGCTCTCCTCCTCCCGACTAACCTCTTCCGTCGACAAGATGGCCGAACAAGGTCAGCTCCTGATACTGCAGGTCCGTTGCAGGTCTCCACTCGATCATGTGTGCCAGAGTGGAGGTGAAAGGTTGCATCACCAGTGAGGACTAGCCAAGTTGAGACGATTGAGATGGCAGCCCCGAGATACCAAATCGGTGCAAGACTGGTGGACTCTGGCGAGTCTCCCGCTTTGCGTTGTAGTGTGCACTTTGAGCAAACCATTTTGGCCAAAAACAGATGGACCAAGACATGGGTGTTTGGGAGAACGATCTTCCCGGCGCTTCGTGGCGTCCAAGGGACACAGCTGCTGCGTGGTGTTGATGTTGCCTGACTCTACGATACAAAGTATGTCCTACAGTCATGCTGTGAAAGAGCTCTGATGCTCTCCGGGCGGCATTAAACGCGAGGCCGAGGCCGACACTGCAATCATCATTGGCAGAGTTGCATCGGTCATCCCGGGCAATGGGTCTCTGCAGCTGTCGAATGTCCAGGACATCGGGTGCATGATATCAGAACATGACCACGACAGACGGCGACCTCGTTGCTCCGGCATTGATGACAAGGGCGCGTCGGGACATGCAACCGAAAACGAGCATGTCCCCCCGAGCATCTCGAAATTGCCCGACGTTATTTCTGCGAAAAGCATGTCTTGGGACCGACCCTCTTTCAAGGCCGACCCTCTTTCAAGGTGCATCAGGTCCGCGATGCTGGCCTCGGCAGGGCTTGGAGGCCCGCTCGCCCAGTCTTGTCGTCAAGCGCTTGCCCCATCCCCTGATCCTGTGTAACACCGAGACGGCTTGAAAGGCCCAGAACTGAATGATTAATATCCACGTACTTGGCGCCATTGCTGATTGTGGAGTTTGGGGGCGGGCGAGGCCTGGAAATTGGAGGATGTTTCGAGTGTGTTGCACGGGTCTTAGGCGAGGGGCCAAGTGGGCGAGATCCGAGCCTGAAGTCCTTGCCACACGCGTGGGAGGGTGGTACATGCGCAGATAAGCTTCAATTACATCCACCGATCCCCTTGGGCGGGAATCGAGGTTCCCTAGCATTAGGTTTTCTGGAAGCGATTCCCGGGCTACTAGCAGTACTACTGCCACCTTAAATCGTGCCTGTGTTGTTTATTCTCTCGAGCAGCTAAGGTCTGAAGATCGCTTACACGGCACAGCAAACGATTGATGCCCGCGTTTCGACACGGTTGCCCCCAAGACTTGTCATCCATCAGGTAATCCGACAAAGGCAAAATTCATGCAATTAACTAAAAACATGCACATTGTCAGCTTTCACCCCCGGCAGACAGGCCCACAGAAGCTCCAATGTCTCGTGTCGCTGGGACTGGTCTGGACTGGGGCCCGAGGAGGAGACAGACACCACCAGGCACAACAGCATGTTCGCCCCCCTACCCCATTTCGCCCATGTCCTTTTGGGACTTCGCACTGGACTGCCCGAGCTTGAATCAAGCTTGGGAGATTGTTCCGAGCCTAGTTCCAGATGGCAGGTTAGAGGTGCAGCAGAACCCCAGTGATTGTGACAGGGGCCGCCATGGTCAACCACGAGGATCACCCCAGCTCTCAGTACCATTCGGGGGCGCGCCCAAATGCGGAGATGGATCACCCAGTACCAGGTGCCGGACGAATGACACAGGACGAAGAGCACCAACACCACTACCATCGTTTCCTTTGCGGAGGCAGCCTCCCAGGTTCCACCAATCCAGCCGCCAAGGGGCTCACCCTCTTGGTCAGGAGCCCCTGGCCTTCCGTCGACTAGATTGTTCGAGGTTAAGTGACGTGACAGCACTTGTCCTGGCCCCTGTGGCCCTGTGGGCTTCTGTTAGCTTGGTAGCTTCACAGCTGATTGCTAGCACATCGGAGCGGAATAGCCAGACGACGGATCAGGTCCGCTGGCTTTGAACCCTCCTCGGCCCTGACTGAGTGAGACTTGAATTGGGGAAATTGTCTGTCCGTCAATCAAACGCCATGGCCGGGTGGCGGCGATGATGGGGTCCAGGTCAAGGAAGAATGTATATAAGAAGTCATGGCCAGCCGTCGAAAGGGCAGAACATCTCCAGAACAGCAGACACTTCAGCTTCTACAGTTCAATTCTTTGACTATTTTCCACAGTCCAGCTCTTTATTTCAACATACAAACTTGATAACAACCTTCCGACTCCAACCATCAAAATGAAGTTCTCCCTCGCCATCACCGCCGCCGTCTCGGCCGTCGCCTCTGCGCAGACTCTCAACATCCCTACCCGCTCTGGCAGCATCGTCTCTCTGTCTCAGCCTTCCACCATCAGCGGCTCCAAGGACTTCGGCAACAAGGAGTTCGACCGCGGCCGCAGCTGCGACACCGACGCCGACACTGGCTCTGACTCCGCCGTCTTCATCCTCGAGAACGGTGCCAGCATTAGCAACGTGAGTTTCGATTCTAGTGTCATGGCAAAAGACGCCCTCTCTCTAACCCTACATCTCAGGTCATCATCGGCGTCAACCAGCTTGAGGGTGTTCACTGCAAGGGTGCCTGCACCCTGACCAACGTCTGGTTCCGTGACGTCTGCGAGGGTAAGCCTCCTTTCTTTCCGCAAGACTATCCAGAGATCGCCCTCGCTAACACTCTCTTCAAGACGCCATCTCTGCCCTCGGCAGCGGCAACGTCCTCATCAAGGGTGGAGGTGCACAGAACGCCAAGGACAAGGTCGTCCAGCACAACGGCCGCGGCACTGTTACCATCGATGGCTTCACCGTCATCAACGCCGGCAAGCTTTACCGTGGCTGCGGCGACTGCACTGGCAACGGCGGCCCCCGCAACGTTGTCGTCAAGAACGTCAAGGCCTACGGCATAACTTCCGACCTTGTCGGCATCAACTCCAACTATGGCGATGTGGCTACCATCAGCAGCTCTTGCGGATCCACCAAGAAGGTCTGCCAGGAATACAAGGGTGTGACCAAGGGCAACGGCAGCTCCTCCAAGGTTTCCACCACCGCCAACTGCCAGGGCGCCCAGGGCAAGCTCTCCTCGCTCCCCGCCTGCTAAACGGCTTGGCCATAACTCTCGGCTGGACGACGCGCTCTGTGAGCGCAAGATGAAAGCTAGAAGGCC